ACATTTTAAAGCTTAAAAATTCTTTTGAAATAAGTTTTTCCCCTCAGCTTTTCCATATAAAGAAGTTCTTAATATATGCGTGTTCAGCTTAATACTTCTCATCTTACAGTTATTGTAGTATATCTCAAAATCTGTTTGTCAACTTCGAATTTGTTTGATAGGCAATTTATATTTTATGGACCTGTTTTTTAATGTATTTCATTTCATGCATGATACTGCTCCCTATTTCTAGTGTACCCTCACAATCCTCATGGAATACACGAATCTGTCGGTAACAGCTTCTAAATCACTGTATACTTAGCTCATGTGAATTAAATCTAAAGGAATTCAAAGAATAGAAATATTTGTGTAAGTTTTTATTCTGGTTTGCACCGTAAACTTCTGTGATGTGTACTTAGTTTACGTTCAGATACTTGCATGCTAAGTGTACATTCAGTGTACTGAAATCTCAGACAATGAGTACGCCTATAGTTTATGAGCACTGATTATTGATTATATTGCACCATTTATTATGTTTCTTATTTTTTTTTTTAATTTTCGAAATATGATTACGTTAACCATAACCACAATACGTGTTCAAATCGCTGATTATCCTGGAAGAAATCGATGTTTTTCTGCAGTTTCTTTCCAAGACTATCCTTGTATACTAGCGAAGAATTGCGGATGCAGTTCTCCCTTCTTTAAACATTTCATTAAGAAATTAACACAAGATTTATTACCTGTTTTCATGTACAGGCATTAAACCTCACACTGGCATGTGTCTGTCTTGAGATAACATATAAAATACTATATTGACGAATACATATAAAATACTATACTAAGATATAGATTATCTTTTAATAATAGTTAGATTACCTTTTATATCTTATTTCTTGAGATAAATACTATATTGATATATATATGTCAATATAGTATATAACATATAATATTCTATATTGCTATATAAATACTATATTGACAAATGTATAAGATGTTGCTAGATTGTTGGTTTTTATATGTAATCAATTATATTTTACTAAATAGTGGATGTAGTGGACATTATTTTTTAATTTTACATAAAAGTGATTCGCAAGATAAGGCTGTTAGATAAGCTCACAATTTTTTTTTTAATAATAACAATTGGTAAAAAATTTATGTGGTCACACATGACTTCATTGTCGGCCTTTAATTGTATACATTTTTTTTTTGTACTTATTTTAAACATGTCCGGAATTTCACTCGCGATTTCTTATTCAATGAAATCAGTTCTGATTTCGGGGCAAGGCAAAAATACATAAAAGCTCAAAATATTTCCCTTCAAAATTGTAAAATACAGAAAAACTTTGAAAATCCAATAAGGCTTAAAACAGTTTCTGAAATTAGAACTAGAATTTCTTAGCGAAAGCAAGCAGTTCAGGCAACGGGCAGAAAGACCAAATTTTCGGTGCATAAAAATTAGTTAACATTTGGTCGCACTGGGCAAAAAGACACTGACGTTGGTGTACCAATGACATAATTGACTATACTACTAAAGGTTTCAGATGTAAACAACCAGCCTCCACTTAGGTCTAGCCGCCACTTATAATTTTAAATTCTTGATAATTCTACAACTGTTGCATGCACATTAATTAACTCAAGGCATAAAACTTTATCTAGAGCTAGACCAATATAATTCAATCACTTCTGAATTATATTGGTCTAGCTCTTCTGAATTACATTGGTCTTCAATTCATAAACGCACAATTTATCAACATATAGGAATATAATCACAGCGCTTACGAAGTTAGGTAAGAGGGTATATATATATATATATATATATCTATTGTGACGATAACAATGAAGAATCAAAACACAATTTTTCGTCAGTACTTCACAGGAGAGATAAAAGATACGTTTACAGCTCTCGAAAATCTACGATAAAGATGCTGAAACAATCAGCAACACAGCCTGCATGCTACAACGGTGAAGACAGCTTCACAGCAAGGTATTGTTGTACACCGCCCTACTCGGTTCGGTAGCTCTTAAGCTAATCTTTGAACACAAATCGCTATACTGAGCTCAACATATTGCTCATCACAATGAACTCAAGACATACTTCACGATAAAACTCAAACTACAGTTGATACTCTCACGAGACACCGTTACTCCGCGTACAGGTAGGGTGTTTATATCTTTTGACCTGCCTTCGGGAACATTCTCAGGAAAACCGGTAAGAATTCGTTCTGAAATTGTTCTCGATTCGTCTATGGCACATCGCTTATTTTGTGGCAAAATGGGTATTTTGCGCGAAATCTGGGAGCACTAATTTTTCTTGCCATTTTCTGGAAACCCTAAGCCCACTTTGTTGGGAAGCTATCTTATCTCGGGGTATTTCGTAACTATATATATATATGCGTTTGGCGCAGTAGATTGCAACATAAAAAGGAGATGCATCACTACATGTTATAGCAATTCCATACACAAAATTTCAACTTTCTAGAGCTAATCGTTAAAAAGAGTCCTTTATTCTCTCCTTAGGTACATATGTTATGCAAAAAATCATTCAAATGGCTTCCAGAGGGATTAAAATGTAAATTTTCGTTAATATATATCCGAAATTCTTCCTTTACTACATACAAGGAAGTAAAACTCTGATGACAAGGAAGTAAAACTCTGATGACAAGGAAGTAAAACACAACGTGACTTCCCTGTGCGATCACACAGGCCACACAGGGTTATACACATTTTTTTGTTACATTTCATTTAAACCTATTTCCTTGAATTATTTTAATTTCATTTTCTGATCTCTCAAGGCAAGTTAAAGTTGCAATTTTTGAAGTTAAAACATCCCAGTCAATTTTTTGGTAAAGAAGTCAAAGATCTTCTAATTTTATTTCTTCATAATAAAATCTTAAACTTATCCAAATGTAAGTATACTGAGGTGGAAAACACATTAAAAGTTAGATTTCATACTTGTCAAAAAGCAGTTTTTAAAGGCCAAGTAACGACATCTAAGCTAGGTAGGGGGTGGGTGCATATATATATGTATATATATATATAATATACATGTTTGGTATATTGCAATAAAAAAAAGGATATGTACATATAGGTGTTAGAGCGATTCCAAATACTAAATTTTAACATTTTACGTATAATCGGTTTTGATTTATGCGAGATACATACATTCGTATGTATATAAGTACAGGTGTCACGAAAAATGTCTTTTGAAACCATTTTAAATCCATTTTGGAAAAAAAAATTCAGTTCAGACAGTTCGTTTTAGAAAAAATAGTCCTTTATTCTGTCCATACTTACGGACGTCACGAAAAAAAAAATTGTCCAAATGGATTCGGGGATGGTCAAAATAGATATTTTGATACCCGAAAATTTTCGGAAATACAATTCTTCTTTTATTTCGTACAAGGAAGTAAAAATATTTGTTTAATATTTAAAATTTTCATTAAAGCACAGTTTCCAATTTAGTTATGAAACACACACTTAAAAATACAGTTTTTGAAATTATTATATTTGATAAGAAGACACGTATAAAGTTTAATGAACAGCGCAAAAAATTAAATCTCTTGAATCTTGAGATTCGTTTTATCAATACAACATTTCAAATCTTGAAGTACAAAATGGATGGAGGAGAGGAGGATTATTTCGAGAATTTGCATAGATAAACATTAAGCATGGAACGCTAGCTTATCTCCAAAAAATTAAAACCGTGGCTCTCAAGTCCTCCAGGAGGGATGTTAGTACTCCTAAATCCACAAAAATTGGAAGCAAAGAAACAGACGCTTCTTTTGGATGATAATAAAATTCCTCTTTTCACCTTTTCAAGTTAATTTTTTTTTTTCACTTCCTTGTACGAAGGAAAGGAATTATTGTAAACGCAAGAAATTTCGGGTATCATATTTCAATGAAAATATCCATTGCAATCGCTCTAGAAACGATTTATTTGAACGACGTTTTGTGTGACATCTATACGTACGGACAGAATAAAAGACTATTTTTGCCGAAAAGTATTGTAAAATGGATTTAAAACGGATTCAGAGGAGATTTTTTCTTGACGTCTGTACGTACGTATGTATGTATCTCTCATAACACATTAACGAGCAGTCGTAGAACGTTTCAATTTTGTGTATAAGGCTACAATAGCATGTAATGTGCACCTCCCTTTTTGGCTGCAATCAGCTACACCAATCGTATATAAAATTATAAGCTAGGTTGTAAGTACAATACTAATAAGACCAATTTTTGTCAAAATATTTTGCGCAATATGCTGCAAAATTAAGGAAATTAGAAGAGAAATTGTAGTTAGCTCACCAAAAAGTTACCAGGAGCTGTGGCTCCAAGAAAGGTAGACAGTTTTTTTAAAAAAAAAAAATGTCACATTGAAGAGTGAAATTGGCTACATGCGAAATAAATGAAATTATAAAACACAGTAAAATACTAATCGTTGGAAACAAGTTAAAAGAAAAAAAAAAGTAAAAAACCAATCGACGAAAATTAAAACAATAAAAAATCAATCGATGGAACAAGTTAAAAAAATAAAAGGAAATAGGAGCTCCAATTCGAGGTCCACCTGGGGAAAAGGTTGAACGTCGACCAAGCTAAACTTACGCGTTTCACCCGAAAAGCAATTAAATTTGCGTTACGAATTTTTTATTAATTGATAATTGTCTAAAATTTTTAGTCTCAATTCTCTGTACTATAAATATTATAAACTTAGCATCAAATTTATTATTAATTAGAAATTCAAGATATTTTCTGTATAATAAGTTAATTGCACCGTGTATAGAGGAAAAAAAAAATAAAAAAATCCATTTAAAGAAAGAATTCATAGTAGAACAAACTCAAAAAATAAAAATGCGAAAGGAAAAATATACAAAATTACACAAATAAAAATTAATCTCTTTTTATTGAAACTCTAATTCAGAACTCAGCAGGGGAAAATGAATTAAAGCTTCAAAAACGTCGATTAATATGTCCGTCTAGTAATAGAAGAGAGTAGTGTTATGTTCAAGTAAACTAGTCAAGAGGAAAACTATCAAAGAATTTAATAAAAGACAAACTATTTAAAATAAAATCGATTTCATTGCGTTTAAAGTACTAAAAAAAATTGTATGTTTTACATAAGACATGCAACAATTTTACAGGACAAACAGGATAAACAAAAAAACATAAGTTTTATGAATAATATAAATTCACTGATGTTTTCAGAAATTTGCTTAGGACTGTGAATCTTATACTTCCTTGTCTTCCGCTTTCCTGAAAGAGAAGAATATAAGAATCAGAGGAAAAAATCAGAAGTCACTTATTACATCACAAATAATAGTCATTTTTTCATTTTTCATAGTCATTTTTATCTATATTTATATGATGTTTAAACACAAATTTTTGAAGAACTAAACACTTCAGTCTTTTGTTGCCCCGTAAAATATATTCATTCTTTCATTTAATCTATTTAGTATATTTGACGGAGACAAACTAATTCCATTAAAATTTTAAATTAGGAAACTTTAATAACAAGTGAGGCATTTATCAAACCTTAAATCACTTATTTTTAGTAAAAACTAGGAAAATGTTATTGCTTTAATCATGAATTCATGTGCTGTATTTGATAACTCTTTTAAATATCTTATTCTATGCGTTTTATTTATTATTTCATAGTATTAAATCACGACAGGATTTAGATTTGATGAGATCTTAAGCTATTTAACATATGGAGCCCTTTATGATGGATATAAGACTTTTTTTTTTCTTAATACGGGATGTAAGAACATTTTTAAATGTGGCCCGGGAGACCTAAGCTCTAGCTTGTGCAGCTTATACGCAAATGCGGCACTGTATTAATTCTTTAACTAGTAGATGTATCGTAACTGTTACGGTGCAACCATGTTTGTAAGTGGTGGCATTTATATTTGCTAGATAGAACGAATTGCTGCTGAAGATTTCAGCTTCAGTTGTTGATGTTTATCTCCGTAGATCGAAATTCATTTATGCTCCATTAGTATCAAGCCCGATTCTGGGTCTATTTTGGCAGATGATACGATCAAGCTAAAAGTACACATTGAATTCACGGTCTGTTCACAATCCCATATCTTTCTTTAGGAGCGAAGTCGCTGCATGTTGAACTTAAATTTAATGAAAAACTACTTTTGAGGCTTTTATTTTACAGACTGTTTTTTTTTTTTTTTTTTTTTTTTTTCAATGTATGAAAGCATATAAAATTGTTTTCGCTTCCTCCAAAAGTTTTCACCACACAAATTTGCATCCTGTCAAAATTGGAAGTGTAGCCAGGTTACGTACTACAATACTTGTGGTGGTCTCCGTCTTTTCGGATTAAAGATGTATCAACCTGCATATTGCTGCTGCCCTGATAGCTGACCGCCTAGTAGTGGTGGGGTGAGCTGACCATTAAAGCTTGGTCCAGCTTCGAATTCCGGCGAAAGCAAGCTATACATATTCGTAAGTGTATAGTTTATTTACGGCATAGGGCACACAAAATACTGTCACGTTATTTTCTTCCTTCACGTTCGTACGGGGTTCGTAGATTTGGAGTGAATAACGACGACACTTGATAAAGTATCGAAACACACTTTATTAAGCAATATTAATCGGACAGACCCATAAACACGTTTTATAGTCGTCGAAAACTATAAAAAAAGCAACAATCAGCGACACAGCTTCAGTATCGGTTATCACGGTGAGATAGCTTTAATGCAAAGCACCAGAGTGCAGCTCCCGCTTGCTCGGGTTCACGAATTCCAGTATTGAGACTTCCACGCTACAACTCACGATGCACTCGACGAACACGATAAGCTCCGACCATCGTTCAGACGTTCCCGGAGCTCAACACTGCGATGCCATACGCGATACACTAAGAGACTCTTTCGATGCACTGGAAGACCCACTCGGCATTCGCTGCCCAGCTGTTAACTCGTTCGACTCCGCATGGACTGACTAACTCGAGACTAACTATCTCGCATTAGACGAGACCTAACTCATCTCTCTAATGAGCTGCTGGATGCCTTTAGTCGGTCTCCGACTTTTACTGCCTATCTTGGATATTGCCCATAGGGCTTGGCAAATAATAATAATACGAAGGAGATACCTCCAGACCTAAAAATGTGAAGCTGGTACTTTTACTCTTGGAAAGATGTAAAATTTAGAAAGCATCTGGGCAGCGCGGAAAAGCCAGGTGGTCGAGTGATGGTGAAAAGATGTGATTCGTTGGGGCCATGGGTAGTCACGCTCCCAAGTACTGACCCCGTTAGACGATGCTTGAAAACTGAGTTAAAGATGAGCATGAAAAAGAATTTTTCTTGATAAGTCCCTTCATCTTGAATTTCGGCAATTTCCATCAGATACTGTATAGCTTGAAAACCTAGCATGAGTTTTTCTGTCATGGTTTTAGAGTTCCTTAATTTTTGAATAAGTATCATAAGCTTTTTCATATACGTAAGAACTCCTGAATTTTGGGAGATTGTGTGAAGAGTCTGAAAGTTATTTCCTTTATTTTCTTCTTCGGCGTTATTCTGTAGGATGCTGCTAAAACTAGGTCTTCTATGATCTTGAGTGACTTTAGGTTTCGGGAAATTTTCACCGTTTTTCTCGACACATTTTGCAACAGTTAGGAATTTTTTCAAGTACAAAGCACGCTCTGTTTTTACAAAACCAAAAACCTTACTTACACAATTTGAACTGGAACTTCGAAGCAAATGATAGTATTTCCGGTTGTTGGACGCGATCCTGTGAAATACTCGACTCGAGCCTTCATCGCCATCTGTAACAAAATAGATATTGTTATAATCGATACAAGATATGCTTTTTAAATGAACCTATAGTCAGAGCATAGTACAACAGATCTTATAAAAAATAAAAGTCGACATCAATGAAAAAGTATTTATTAGCAATTTATTGACAGGATTTTTAAGAGTGACTAAGTTTTACTGCTATAAATAAATTATTTCACTTTAATTTAAATATTCCTTACGTAAAATTAATTATCAACACCTCCTAATGTAATTAATTGTTGATTGATAAGTACATCACATCTAAAAATGTTTAAACTGTAAACAAGACTTCCTGTAAATATATACCTTTGAGAGGAAGGGAAGCTGCACCGGGTTGGTTTGGTTAATTACAGCGAAATTTCGAGGGCTATCTAAGGGAAGGAATGCCTGTGGAGGACCTTTAGGGAAAACAGCTCGATAATGTTACATGGAGAAAACACGAAAATGCCTATGCATACAGCTCGTTCGCGGAATTCGAACCTCTGACCGAACTACCGGTGTTCAGCGTAGCCTAAAACATGAGTTTAGTAATATGATGTAAATAAATTGCACTTATGACTGCGAGAACTACGTCAAAAGGCAGAGGTTAACTCGCCAACTTGTTTTGTGAGTTACGACCTGAAGTCGAACGGTTTAGCAGTTCACTGGGCAGGGTCAGATAGCGTATTTAGCTAAGAGCGAGAGCAGTTCGAAAGCATTAGCGACCGTAGCCAATGCACTCAAATTATCTTCATTTGAGAGCATCCAAAATATATTGCGTAATACTGGACAGCCTTGCAAGCTACAAAGATCTTAACAAGAGTTCACTGCGTTCACCGCTAAACTACATAAGGTCAACACTGGAAGGGCGCTGGTCGCCTAGCTCAAAACTTTACAACAGAGTACGAATTTTTGAAGCTTCGCTTTCAGAATGTATTGCAATCCATCTCTGTTTTAGGATATCATATTTTCTTATTGCGATATATGCTATTATTACTTACAAATTCGCATAGACGTACAATATTGCTTATGCTTATGCTTTACTTTCACTACAGGAGCCCACCAGCGGCCGAGCGGTAACGTCGCTGAACACTGGTAGTTTGGTCCGAGGTTCGAATCCCGCGAACGGGCTGGCTGCATGGGTGTTTTCGTGGTTTTCCCCATGTGTAACGTGTATACGAGCCAGTTTCCCTTAAAAAGTCCTCCACGAAGGCATCCCTCCCTTAAGGCAGATAGCCCTCGAGTGCTTTGCCGTAATCTAATAAACCAAACCAAACCTACTTTCACTACAGGCATCAACTTCTTAGAGTTTAAACCTGATCGTTCTAACTTGCCATACGGCCATTCATGGTTGTAGAAAAACTTTAGAAGGCTATCACGCTACTCACCCGAAGGCGAAAATAAGAGTCAATTAGGCAATCAGGGGAGATTTAAGGTGGCATGTCAAAGTGGCGTACACTAATATAATAGCAAAAATTTCAATTTTTAATTTTGAATTTAAAATGAAAATCAATTGAGTCCTGATTGGAGAACATAAAACTGCTTAGTGAGAGATTCGAGAGAATATTATCTAATTCTTGAGAATTCAGGGTAGGAGTATCACGGGACCGGTACTAGCCAATACGGTTAGATCCACTGTGGTAGGCATGGTGAGTTCAATTATTTATACTTTGTACAAATAACACTAAGTCTTGCTGTCAGCACTAGTCCATTTCTTAGTAGTAAAACAAATGCACAAACATGAAATAAATCTGGTTAAATACTTGGATAAAACTAGGATTAAATGCTTGTTTAAATACTTGAATAAATAAGTGGATAAACTATATACATATTTAAGTACACTTACATGGGTGAAGACTAGGCGTTTCACGACGCTTTCCACAGGGGATATAGTTCGTAAGTTCTCTCAAATATTGATGGCGATCTCCATTTTTTCAAAAACGTTGTGAGCTCATTAGATCTGCTCGGTATGGTTTATTTTTAAATCTTCATAAATGATCGATTCAACATACCAAGGGCTTAACCATCGCTCTTAGTTTATATTTTGCAGGGTTACATCCTTCGTAGTCCTGAACGCGGTACCCCAGGCCGGGATGATAAAGCAAAATGGTTAACAAGTGCTAAATACAGAGTACGTTAATTTTAGGCTGTTTAGATTTCCGCCTAGAGATTTTAGAGAGACATGTAGCTCATTTGCTTGGAACTGGTTAATACGTGGTCTTAAGCTAAGTCGTTCATCAGATCATCCGAGATTTACAGTATCGCTAGCTTAAATGCTAATGCTTATGCTTCTATAGCCCGGGCTTAATAAGTATATTGATTCACCCTAAGGACAATCAGACGTAACTATAGCTAGTCCCAGCCGGGGAATCGGAGCGGGGAAGGAAAAGAGGCTACGGCCAAGTGACAAGTCAATCATCAAGTAACTTAACTCTCACCCTGGATATTGCTAGTAAAATAATTATATTTAAAGCACAGATAAAATAATTCGGGCTATAGAATTAAGTACACAATGTTATTCTGGTGATCTAGAAAAATTCCTTTATGTATTATTCTGCAATTTGTATTTAGTGTTTCTTCGCATTCAACTGATCTCGCAACGTATCTACGACTGGCTTCGCCCTCACGTGACAAGGTAGTCACGCCCTCCCAAAATCCAGCGGCGCATTTAGCAGAACTAGGCATTTAGAATTAAGTACATCAGATTTCACAGCAGTAACATCGTGATTAAATTTTGTTAAAGGCGAAGTTTATTGGAAAGGAAAAACTGCCATTCCAATCTAACAAATCATAATGCAGGGCTTGTTTTCTAAAAAGGAAGTAATTTTACTGAAACATGCGATACCTGCGTAGCTGCTATATTTTCAGTTGGAAATTCACCAGCAGAGTTTTCATTATACGACATGAATATTGCATTTAGTTATAATGTAATATTGTATTTAGTTATAATGTAATAGTATACGGTTCTAATTGCAAACACAAGAAAAATAAAAAGATAGAAGACCTATCATGCATCTATAACCATTAGGAATACACACGAGAATGAAAAATACATGAACATTAACAAAATACAAAACAGTCACCTTGCAGAAATATATTGTACACACTACCAATAAGGAAAAACAGACTCCAGTCAATGCCAAAAATGCGCGATAAAAATATTCTGTTTTAAAAACTACATTTTAAAGATATTCTAAAAATCTTTAAAAAAATCCAATAAAATTATCAATTATTATTATTATTATTTTGAAAAACACTTACTCTTAAATTCCCCCACCCCAAAAAAAAATCACACAAGAAATAATTTAATCCAACCTGCATTAAAAAAGCCATAATTTAAAAGAGTAATCCAGTTTCAGCACCGACACACATTGATGAAAACCTTCAGCAAAATATTCTTGAGAATCAATTGTACAGACAAAATACCGACTTAAAAATCCATCTGTGTTGCTCAAAAAATGACCCTAGTAGTACGTAAACTGCAGCTTACTTCATTCGGGTAATTTCTGGTGCACAAGATTAAACCTCTTCCCTACAAATAAATGGACGAAATTCCAACCAATTTTCAAGGCAAGTGCAACGTATGGTGAACCAGTTCTTACTGTAGGTTACCAAATATGGCGATGCTTTATCGCTGGTAGACTCGAGCAGAAGATCATTAGAAAGGCCTAAGAATTACAGTTAATACCAACTTTATTTAAAAACCAACCTTTACTAAAACCAACTTTATTTACGAACATCTC